GCAGAGCGAGAGTTCGGGAGCCCGAGAAAGTACGAGGCGACGCAAACCTGTGGACAAAATGGAAGATGATGATTGGCTCTATTACTAGAGAAAACCCGAGGGGCGGAGAAAAATCGAAGAATCCAAAATCCAAGGGATATGGAAAGAAAAACTGATTTCGGAGTTTTCAAAACTTGTAACCCAGGGGCAGGGATTGCCATAAGCCTATAACTCGAAACTGTTTCAGTGTTTCTTCTTATTATAATAAATTTAAGTTACAATGTGTTAAATCATTTCAGTTGATACCTATTATGATTTATATTCTTGAGCGTTTCTCATAACACTACTAAGTGTAAGCAGGTACCTGCCTATCAATCAATCTAGGTCTGCCTGGATGTTAACCAATAATTCAGTGTCTGAAATATACGTTGAAAAAACAAGTTGAGTTTACTCATACTGACCGTATCGTTTCACTAACCCTTGTTAGTTGACACCTCAAAAAAACTTGACACCTAGAAACTAAAAGCTTATGAGCGTTAATTTGAAAAGCAGTACAGCAATTTTAGATCAAGCAGGCGCAAAAAGGAGCCGCAGAAGCGTACGTGCCTGAGTATGCTCGAATCGATTCAAGTATCGGAGCGAAAACCAACGAGAAAAAAAATAGGTCGTGAAATTCGCAAGCAAAAGTTGAAAAGGCAAATGACTAATGTTGAAAAAATTGAATACGTTTTTCAAGACATTAGTCATTTGTTTATGATCAAAATTTTTAAAAGTCTGATGCGGGATACTCAACCATACATAAAATTTAAGTCTTTTTTATTGTGGTAAGTTTATTGCGGCTGTTGAAAAATCAAAAGTTACACAGAGGCAAAGCTGCGCTTTGCAAAGAGAACACGACCAAGAACACGACCAAAAAGCAGCTCTATCAAGTGACATCAGAAAAAGTTGAAATAAGCCTCAAATTTGCAAAAACTCGAGGTTTAGCAAAAACTCGAATTAGCAAAAATCTGTGACCTAGCAAAATTGAGTCTCACGCACTAACAATTCAGCCACGGATGTCTAATCCTCAAAAACTACCCACTAACAAGGCATCTACATATGCTAATAAATAGCCAATTCGAAACAGCAAAAGTAGCATCAAACACAAAAAGATACGATTTTGCACTTAAGAAATTGCGAATCTTAAGGCCACATTATGTATAAATTAGACATTTCAAAAAATTGAGTTATTGAATGTGTTGAGTTAGAAAAATTTTGTAATCGAGATTTTATTATTGTTGGTGTTTGAAGCAAATAGCTTTCTTCGGTTCACTTGATGAGTTAAAAAAACATCAACTGTAAAAAATTATAACTATTCAAATGTCAAAGCACATGTTAGCAATAAGATGTAAAGGTGCAAATTAATATCAAAGGTGCAACTAGAGGCCAGCTAAAGCTGGAAACACCTGTTTAATAATTTTTGCAATTTTTGTGTTGATGCGGAAGGACAAGGGTAATTTCAAAAACAGACCTATAGCAAACAAAAGTAAATCCCAATATAAAGACTTCAAAATAATTTAATTACATGAGATACTTCAGTTTTCTTGAAAAATGAAGTGATTATAAAAGCTTGTTAGGTTAAAAGAGGCTTAAAACGTTATTCATTAGTTTTGGGCGGGTTGTTTTCGAGAGAAGCCACAAAGTTTCAAAAAACGGTCAAGAAAATCGAAAGTTTGACTTTTCCGAATGTCATAGTTTTTTGTATCAAAAAATGAACTTAAACGCTTATACAGTGGAGCTGCTTCCCACTACCACAACCCGTTCTTGACACTGAAACTAAAATCTCGGATTCGGGAAGGTAATTTTTGAGAAGTTAAAAAACTTTAAAAATATCAGAAATTCTACTTTACGAAGGGTCATAACTTTTTGTGTCAAAAAATTTGGGCCTAGCCGCTCATGCAGGAGAGCTTCTCATAACCCATTCTACCTATTGAAATCAAAATCTCATTTTTGAGGGGACAATTTTCGAGAAAATTTTGAAAAAACGATCAAAAAAATTGACTTTACGGAGGGTCAGTACTTTTTGTGTAAAACACTTTAGGCGTAATCGTTCATGTAGCAGAGTTTTCCACATGCCATTTTTCTCATTGATACCAAAAGCTCAGATTTGGGTGGGTAGTTTATGAGAAAAATCAATAAGTTTCGAAAAACGGTCAAAAAAAAATTGTAATTCTGACTTTACTGAGGGCCATAACTTTTTGCGTGAGAAAAATTAAGCGTAACCACAAATACAGAGCACTCCCCACAACCCGTCCGTTTGATTGAAACTAAAATCTCAGATTTTGGAGGGTAGTTTTTGAGAAAATTCAAAAAAATAGAAAAAACGCTTAAAAAACCAAAAATTCGACTTTTTTAGGCCCATAATTTTTAGGGCGAAAAAATTTGGGTGTAGCCACGACCTGCTCTATCCATTGAATTCAAAATCTCAGATCTGGACGGGCATTACGAGGCCAAAGTGTGCACTTGATAGGAGCACAGTTTTGTGTCTGTATGTTCCTGGATTCCAGAGACAAGTCTTTAAACATGGTAAAACTTTGTCGGAACGATCAAAGAGAAGGAAAGAACAAAAGAAGAACAAAGGGAGCGTGCTTGTTGCGGAATCCGCTTACAATGCACAAAATGCACAGTTTGGCCTCATAATGGGTAGTTTTCGAGAAAATAATAAAAATCAAACATTTGGTTCAAAAGTTCCCCCCACACACTTTTCCGAAGGCTGTAGGAAGTGGGGCAAGGTAAAAAGAGACTAAGGGATTATTCGGGCACACAGAAGAGTGGGCGGATTTACCATTGGTACCACTCTTTTGAAAATCGGTAAGGTAGTTTTTGAGAAAAACGGCAATTTTCCAAAGCGTCACAAAAAAAATAAATAAAAAAATCCAATCCCAATAACATTTTCATAATAACTGTTTTTATCAAACAGGAACAAAATATCAAAATTTCTTATTGCCAATTCGACTGAGTAAATTCGATGTAAAGGTGCAAAAATAATATCAAAGGTGCAACTAGAGGCCAGCTAAAGCTGGAAACACCTGTTTAATAATTTTTGCAATTTTTGTGTTGATGCGGAAGGACAAGGGTAATTTCAAAAACAGACCTATAGCAAAGAAAAGTAAATCCCAATATAATGACTTCAAAATATTTTAATTACATGAGATACTTCAGTTTTCTTGAAAAATGAAGTGATTACAAAAGCTTGCTAGGTTAAAAGAGGCTTAAAACGTTATTCATTAGTTTTGGGCGGGTTGTTTTCGAGAGAAGCCACAAAGTTTCAAAAAACGGTCAAGAAAATCGAAAGTTTGACTTTTCCGAATGTCATAATTTTTTTGTATCAAAAAATGAACTTAAACGCTTATACAGTGGAGCTGCTTCCCCTTACCACAACCCGTTCTTGACACTGAAACCAAAATCTCGGATTCGGGAAGGTAATTTTTGAGAAGTTAAAAAACTTTAAAAACATCAGAAATTCTACTTTACGAAGGGTCATAATTTTTTGTGTCAAAAAATTTGGGCCTAGCCGCTCATGCAGGAGAGCTTATCATAACCCATTCTACCTATTGAAATCAAAATCTACTTTTTGAGGGGGCAATTTTCGAGAAAAGTTTGAAAAAACGATCAAAAATTTTGACTTTACGGAGGGTCATTACTTTTTGTGTAAAACACTTTAGGCGTAATCGTTCATGTAGCGGAGTTTTCCACATGCCATTCTTTTCATTGATACCAAAAGCTCAGATTTGGGTGGGTAATTTTTGAGAAAAATCAATAAGTTTCGAAAAACGGTCAAAAAAAAATTGTAATTCTGACTTTACTGAGGGCCATAACTTTTTGCGTGAAAAAAATAAGCGTAACCACAAATACAGAGCACTCCCCACAACCCGTCCGTTCGATTGAAACTAAAATCTCAGATTTTGGAGGGTAGTTTTTGAGAAAACTCAAAAAAATAGAAAAAACGCTTAAAAAACCAAAAATTCGACTTTTTTAGGCGCATAACTTTTAGGGCGAAAAAATTTGGGTGTAGCCACGACCTGCTCTATCCGTTGAACTCAAAATCTCAGATCTGGACGGGCATTACGAGGCCAAAGTGTGCACTTGATAGGAGCACAGTTTTGTGTCTGTATGTTCCTGGATTCCAGAGACAAGTCTTTAAACATGGTAAAACTTTGTCGGAACGATCAAAGAGAAGGAAAGAACAAAAGAAGAACAAAGGGAGCGTCCTTGTTGCGGAATCCGCTTACAATGCACAATATGCACAGTTTGGCCTCGTAATGGGTAGTTTTCGAGAAAATAATAAAAATCAAACATTTGGTTCAAAAGTTCCCCCCCCCACACTTTTCCGAAGGCTGTAGGAAGTGGGGCAAGGTAAAAAGAGACTAAGGGATTATTCAGTCACACAGAAGAGTGGGCGGATTTACCATTGGTACCACTCTTTTGAAAATCGATGAGGTAGTTTTTGAGAAAAACGGAAATTTTCCAAAGCGTCACAAAAAAATAAATAAAAAATCAAATCCCAATAACATTTTCATAATAACTGTTTTTATCAAACAGGAACAAAATATCAAAATTTCTTATTGCCAATTCGATGGAGTAAATTCGACGCAGCAAATATTGCTGCTTTAAGCAACACTAATCGCAACTTATTCGCAACAATATTTGCGTCCTCGGTTCGAAAAACAGAAAGTTTTTGCGTCCTCGGTTCGAAAAACAGAAAAACGTACTATAACTTATTGCTTCGCAAGTGTAAACAGCTGGTATAACTGTCAAGGGCCCTAACCGACGGTTAAGACCGGTTTGGATAACTGCTGTTTGCCGATTTTTGATTTGATAGTAAGTTGCCTTACGTTTAATTCCAAGCTATCCATTGTATTTTGTTTACCTTGACAGTTTGTCCAGTTTTATGGCAAGCATATTTCGCAGCTCTCTTTTTAGAATAAATATTGAATTAAAACTATTTTCATAAGTCTAAAACTAATTAAATTAATCACTGGAATTTGATGCAATCTGATAATTAAATACAATTCGAAATATACATTGGAGTGAAATAGAACACGAGTCGCGCAATAACAGTAATGGGATAGAATATTGCAGCATTATAATTGCGTAATTTACCGATAGAAATTTATAGATAAAAAAGTATTATATTATATTCCTCTAAAGCAAAAAATTTGGCTAGTTTGAATGGCTCTAACAAGTCTACGAGTTTTAAAATACACCGGTGTTTTGGTTGGCAGGCAAGATATACAGTTTATCGAAAATTTCAAATAATGCCGGACTGTTTCTATTCAATCTTCGTCACTTGATCAACTTCTATTCGATCGGCGACGCTTCTTCATTTTTTACTATCTTCCAACTTGATCGTTATCAGCTATCCCATATTTTTTCCGTGGTTAGATGAACATACGCGACCTAAAAGTGAAAATATAAAATAACTGAAAACGAACTAATACTTTGTTTAAGTTCAGGGATCGATTTGGAGAATCATGGGGGATTTGGGTAGCTACATCGGGAACTCGAACCCCTCACAACCCCAATGTATATTTATGTCGCCCACTATTTGACGAACTAACCATAAAAATTCTCCAACGAAGCCAATATATACAATCTTTGAGGGGACAGCTGGCCTATTTTATTTGATAAAATCCTTCTAACAAAGTATCCATGAGTCTTCAGGTAATCAATTGGGCCGAACTCAAAGAGCGTGTAGGTCCTGCTTAATCTTCGCCCATCGCTTGAAAAAAGTCAAGTTTAATTGACTTGTGACTGACCTTCACAGTCTGCAGAATAAATTCTGCCTCGGGTGTGTCGGAGAAGTTGGCAAAGTCTTCCACGAACTGAATTTCTGAACTCAAGTAGCGAACCCTGCGAAACAAACAAAAAACAATTCACTTGAAAGCTCTTTTGGTCCTGACTCACTCCACTGAAACGTTTTGTAAGTTTGGGGAAATTAGTGTTGCAATTACTATATGGTTTCTGACTGCCGAAAAGTTGAAATTGCAGCAATGTAGACAACACGGATTAACTGACACAATAGAAAAACATGACATCTAAATTGAAAATCTAAGCAATCTTCAAAATATGACAAGTTTCAGGAGAGATTCAAGTAAACTTCAAAAATATCAAAGTGAAACCATCCAAATAATATTTTGAGACTAAATAAATTTCAAGGTTTACTAAAAAACCAAACGGCCGAAATACGATATATTTCGTTCATCAAGACATCAACAACAAAAATATAATGTATCGTGAAATCAAAAATTCCTGCAGTGACTATATGACTCAAATCCATTTCCTCCTGAAAAAAAAACTACTTTTTCTCCGCTCTGAAATTTTTTCATTAGATCGTTTTGGAATCCGAATCACGACTGAAAAGACTTTAATGTGATTTGAGATAAAATTCGAGCTCCATTTGAGGTACCTAACACCTCGGTGAAAAACTCCTAGGTCAGAGTTCTTTGTTTGTTTGTTAGCCAACGGCTCGGGCTTGGCTCGTCTGCCTCCAGGTAGAATAACTTCGGGGCATTCACCAGCCGAAGCCACAGGTCTGCAGGGTGGGCAAAATTGGTGTTGGGAAAGTCAAAAACGTGTGGGTTGCATGAGAACAAGTTGGATATACAGGGGAAATGGTGGTCTAAGCAGGACAGGTGGATGTTGAAAGCTGACTGTAACCAAACCGGTGTTATGCGAGCTTTCCACGGAATATTTTGGAATAGAATTGCAGGCTCAAATTTTGAGAGAGGGATACTTATAATTTGGGAGAGAAGGAACTAGGTTAAATGGCTACAATACTTTAGTTGTAAAATGGGTTTAAATGAATTTAAAAGAAAAGCAAACTCTTCGTCTCGATTATTAAAATCTAGGTATGAATTTTTGGTAGACACAAGATTAGATAAAAAAGAGATTACTTCTTTAAACTGACCTGAAAAAGATAGATGTTTTGAAGTGGGGAAGGAAAGTGTGGGAAAAGTTTTAGGGTGATTGGACTGGTAACTGTGGGATAAAAAACTGAGTCAAGAGTGTGGTAATTTTTAAAAATGAGCATCATTACTTCACTGTGCAGATGGGCAGTGAAACTTATGAGCCTAGAACCAGTAGAAACAGGAAGCACTTGATTTTGGTTGACCTGCGGAGACCAGTGCTAAGTTACTAGAGTCATGGGAACAAGCAAGGTGATGCGTAGTTAAGGAGGGGTCTCGTTAAGGCTTAGAAGTTTAGGAGGAAAGCTTCTTTTGCTTGACCACACAAAGTGCGAAGTTATTAGAGCCATCGGAACAGGTAAGGGGAAGCGTAGTTAAGGCGCGGTCCCATTAAGGCTTTGAAGTTTCGGAGGAAAGTTTCTTTTGTTTGATCACATAAAGTGCGAAGTTACTAGAGCCATCGGAACAGGCAAGGGGAAGCGTTTGGGAGGGGTCTCATTAAAATGCGCGGACCAGATCAACAAACCGGAAAAGCATCACCCAATTACGTAATCACATGAGATGAAGACCGAAATTTGTACATTATGACAAATTTCTCTCTCAAAACAAAATTTGAACGCAGAGGCGAAGTTGCACTTCGCATACACAAGAAAAAATTTGACCAACAACGCTACTGGAAAATAATTGAATGCGTAGAACTTTGAGTCTACAAAGTTCAACCAACCCCTCATTAAGGCTTTGAAATTCAGGAGGAAAGTTTCTTTTGTTTGACCACATAAAGTGCGAAGTTACTAGAGACATCGGAACAGGCAAGTGGAAGCGTTTGGGAGGGGTCTCATTAAAATGCGCGGACCAGATCAACAAACCGAAAAAGCATCACCCAATTACGTAATCATATGAGATGAAGACAGAAATTTGTACATTATGACAAATTTCTTTCTCAAAACAAAAATTGAATACAGAGGCGAAGTTGCACTTCGCATACACAAGCAAAAATTTGACCGACAACGCTAATGGAAAAATTGAATGCGTAGAACTTTGAGTCTACAAAGTTTCTTAAGTGACGCACGCCAATTATGAGTCTACATAATTGCTAGGTGACGCAAACCAATTATGACGCAATAGCAGTACCAGTCAACTTGAAACGAAATTTACCAACTAACATGCCTCAAATTATAAAGCGGGCGCATTTTAACTAGTATAAGAAAAAAATTATTAAAAAATCCGACCCTGCCCAGGTTTGAACCCTCTTATTTTGCTGCTGGTCTCCTTCCCTACCTCTACGCTACAGAACCATGATACCTACTTTCAAGCTAAAGTGCAATTTGTAATATAATAGTCTGTGCTAATATCCATAGCATTGGCTGTACTTGATAGCTGGATCAAAATGAAAACTTTCAGAATGAACACGTTTTGTCGCAACAATTGCATCGCAACGATATTTGCAACTTAGGTTGGAAAAAAAGAAAGTTCATTCTATAACACAAGCTATGCTGGTGTAAACAAAAAAAAGAAATAAAAATACGCTTGCCCTGAGCATTGTAGTTTTCAATTATTTTCCCAGGTGAGCAAAAACAATTCTATAAACCTTTAATTCCGCAATTGATATATTTACCACGGAGTTCGGTTTACTGATCTGTTAATTTACTGACACTTCGGTTTACTGAACGCACCTCAATCATAGCATAGCAGAGTCGATAATAGTTCTGCATCAGCATCAAAAACTAAATAATTTTTGCTACTCTGAACAGATGTGAAAAAGTTTTAAATGTTTTAAATGCCTTCTATAAATTTTCGAAACAATTGGAGCATATTCTCCTACACAAGTCATTTGTTCGATTTTTCATAACTATAGAATTGATGAGACATTATCACCCACTGAAGAATATTGTTTATAAGACATAATACAGCTTCTACTTAAAAAAATTGACACAGAGGCGAAGCTGCGCTTCGCAAACGTTAGCGAGAACACGATAAAACGCAGCTCTATAAAATGCAATAAGAAAAAGTAGAAATAAGCCTCTAATTATGAGTCTCAGGCAAAAACCACTCAACCACGGACCCTTAAGAATCCCTTTACAAACACTAGCCACAAATAAAGCACAGAACAGATGCAATGAATTTTCCAATTCTACAGATCACTAAGTGAACACTTTAATGAAGACTTTATTTGCGAGTAAGGTTAGAAAAAAGTTCGTACTAATACGCTAACGCTTGCAAGCTCGCTCGCTATGAGAATGGCTTTTCAAAATAGCATGTGAGCCTTACCGTCTAACAGCATTTACTTTATACATGGAAATCAGCACAGCTTCATTTCCAGGAAAATAAATGTAGTACTTTATTACTGATAGCTTTCACAAATCTCTACAATCACACTCAATCTGATCATAGTGGGCCTCGAACTGTCAACCTATCGGTGGGAGGCGAGATAGAAATAGGTGCACTAGCCAGTTCACATGCGCTTTAACCGCAGCCCTTTTTTTTTATGTCTAACCCCCTCCCCTCTCCCTCAAACTTTTGTGACGGTACTCACTTGGCTCTGACAATGACGAATAGAAATATGGGCAGGACAGTGTCCATCATGAGACGTGTGCTCTCCTCCCCACTCAACTGACTGGCACTCTTCACCAGCTGCTCAAATGCATCACTCACACACTCCAGCTTCCTACTCGGCACCACCGCATCACTACAACACCCACACAAATGATAACGTTAATGAGGTCGGGTCGGACTGCTAGCAGACAATCTAAACTTCATACCGGTCCACGAGCAGACAAATAAACCTGATTGGCTGACTTTGACAGTTCAAAGATTTCATCAGCTTATTTTGTACAAATTTAGTGCAAATAAAGGAAAAAAAGTTTAGAATAAAACATTTAACAGAAAACATTTCGACCATGCCTCAGCGATTAAACGGCCATGCCCAACGGACGGACGAGAGAAGAGTTCGATCTGAAATATTTCACGAAAACATCAATCATCGCATACGCAAGTTAAAACTATTTCCGCTGATTAGAGCATTCGTCAATTAGTTTGCTTACTTTTAATATATCTGCCCTTGAACCGGTATACAATTTCAGTTGTCAACTGCTGGCTACAAAACCAGCTAAAATTAATTTTACTGTCTATTGTTATTTAATTACTGCCAAATTGTTAGCAACCGTGAGCCTAAAATCATACAAGGACAAAAAACATTCGATGATTTTAAGGTTAATTCAGTCATTATTCATTAGTACTAAAAAAATAAGTGACCAAAAAACAAGAAAGAACCAAAAAACAATGTCTCCCTCCCCGAAAAATGATTTAGGGAGAAAGCGTTTACTTTAAACTATTTTTGTTCTGACCATTTGAAAAATGGGGAAGAACTTTTGTATTCGCGTGTAATAAGATGAGCACGCATACTTATAATAGCTAATTTAACCTCAAACTAAGCCATGAAAACTCAGTTTTACTCAACTAAAGTTAGTTTTTTGAGTTTTTAGCCATTTTGCAGAATTGGCATATTTTACTATTCACTATGATTGTCAAATATGCCTAAGTTTTCTTTTTTTTGTTCGCTCAGATCTTTGTATCACACCACGCAGAAAAAAAACGAAACTAATTTGAAAAACTTTTTTTTTGTATTTTTTAGACTATGCTCGGAGCATTCTGTGCTACTTGCACAGTAACCAGCTATCCTTGTGTTACATGCATTTTATTGTTTGAGGAGCGGCAGATAGTTCAATTGGTCGATGTGGGATGACTTAGGCGAGACAGTTCACAAGGGCCAAAAAATTAATAAATTAAGCATATTAGGCAACAAAAGTTATATTCAAAAGAAGACGAACACACAAGAAAAAGAAAAAACTCAAAAAAAAACTTCAAAATAATTTTCAATTTTGCTCAATAACTTAAATTATTTAGGAAAACGTTTATTACCACGGAGACGCTAAATGAATTTTACCAAACCAGTTTGCATTTACTTTTCAAATTTTTTTTCAGCCTAAAAAACCTATTTTACGAAGTATATCGTCACTTTACTCCATCGCTTTAATCGCTCGAAATTATTTTAAAACTCAAAAATTCAAGCCGGTTTTTCTCGCCACTGTTTTTGAACAACTTTTTGAAATTTTCAAATGTGGTTCGAATCCCAAATGAAAACATTTTATTATGATATATAACTCCACAACAATATTCAATTGGAAACAAGGATAGCCGGTTACTGTGCAAGTAGCACAGAATGTTCCGACCATAGTCTTTCAAAAAACTCTACGATAAAGCTTTTTTTTTCAAATTAGTTTTTCTGCGTGGGGTGATATAAAAGTCTGATGTTAAAGTATAGTTTAGGTATATTTGACATTCATAGTAAATCAAGCAAATAATACACAATTTTTTTTAAAAGAAAATTGACTAGGAAAACAAAAAATCAAAAGATTTCAAATTATTTTTTTTTTCAATTTTTTTTGCTAAAAATTTTCCAATTTTCTGAAGTTTTTAGTTCCCAGATTGGAGCTACAAATTAAGTTTCAAGTTAAGTTTTTAGGGCTTAAATTTTAAATTTCTCGTCATTAAGCTGTTGTAAGCCTGTTCGCTTGCTTTATTCGCTCGAATTAAGACGAAAAAATCAAAAATTTCAAACAGGTTTTTCTCAACTCTGGGAAAACTTTTCTAAATTATTTTATGTCGTTCGAATCGCGACTGAAAGGGCTTTAATATGATAAATCACTCAACCTAGTCCGATTATTTGTGGTAGCTGTTTTGCGTGGAAAACGAGAAAAAACTAAAACACACCCGAATAGAAAGTTCCTCCCCATTTTCAATGGTTGGATTAAAAATTAGAGTCAGCCCACCATCTATTGGGTCGTTCGCGTTCCTAGCAGTTCAGGCTAACAATTATTTTGAGTTCCACACCACCTGAGGCCTGGCCAACAAAATGAACTTCATCGGTAATTCAATGTTAAACACGATCTTAGGAGTTTGAATGGACATAAATTAGTTTCCGGCAACAAACTTGAGTTTTAGTTTAATAAAATTAATTGGGATTCGAATGCCAAAAAATAGCGCTAATTCAAACTATCCGGATGAAACGAATAAAGGAAAAAACTTAACTCGTTTTTCCAAAAATCTGTAAACTTAAGACAAAAATGATGAAGCTGTTTAGTTTGATATTCGAATATCAAACCAAACGTTAGCACCCTTCTAAATCAACTCGCCTAATTTGAAAAAAAACAATCAATTTTTCAAATAAAAAAACGTAAAATGCGCCTCTTCCTTTGTCAAACAAAGACCAGGGCGAAAGAACGCAAAAAGATAGGCATCATTTTGCATCGATAACCTTGAGTTAAAAAATGAACTAAGCTAGTGTCAAAACTTAAACACCTTGGAAAATGAAAACATATTATTAGTTTTCCGACTTTTGAAGTGAGCGGCGGAATGTTATACAGGTGAAACTTTTCCAGGCACAATAAATGGTAGCCGGGAATCGTCTCTTACGATTCGCCCTCTTACGAATAGACTCAATAACTTAAAAAATACTTGAAGACTGATGACCATAAAGATAATCATCGTCGAAACAACTAGAATTCTTCACTGTCCACAAATGGTTATAGTCAACCAACAGTTTATATGACTTTTGAATCATTTTTACTATTTTCTATGATGCAACTAGAACAATAGGTCAAAAATATCATTCAGCCTACCGAGTGAACAAAACATTGAAAATGGCTCTAAAATTGTTTGAGGAATTTGTTGAGTTACAAGAAAAAAAGTGCTCGGCTGAAATCCATTGAAAAATACTCCTAGGAAATTTGTTAGACCTAAATAGGCCGCCAAGCAAAGCGACTGCTATTTTTTAATAAATAGGTATGTATTGTGCATCGTAAGCGATTGATTTAAGTCGAGTTCTCATATATCAGGGCTAAAATAAGAGCATGAAAACTGTTTTGAAAAAATACCCTGATGCACATTAATACCATGTGCACTTTTACTGTCTAAAATAACCTCAGTAACAAGGGGGAGCTAAGCGTTCATAAAAGTCACTTTTGCTCTTTTACCGTTCGCACCATCGTATCCTTTTACTATATAAGGTTTTCATTTACATTGAAGGTTCTTGAAAAATTCACGAAGGAAGAATGGTTACAAAAAACGTCAGTTTTATAAGCAACACAAGCCAAAATTTTACCTTATTTTCTTCAATGCTTCTATAGCACCACTATAGTCCACGCCTGAGTTCTAAAACAATAAATGCGTCACTTTAACAACAACAACAACAACAAAAACTAAGTTGAACTGAAAATTTCAATTAGGTTACCTTCGTACCAGCTGTAACCAACAAGGGCTCTTTCCGTGTATATCCCCAAGCAAATAATAACCCATGATATAAAAACTACAGTTTGAGCTACATATTTGCGTTGATAGCCAGCGGCGGGGGACTATGCTGGTATCGTCAATTTGACTATTCAAAAGTCAAATTTGTTCCACAAGCCACAAATTTCCAATTTTATAAAGTAGCAAACGCTCTTCAAGAAAATTTAAGAACGTTTTTGGGAAAAGCGGTCTCCTGGAAAAACAACAAAAAATTGAACGTCCAGGTAGACTTAAACACGCATTGTGGGAGGAGGTGGTTTTGCAATGCTGGCTCTAAACCAAAGCGATTGAGACTAACTTTATTGGCATCAAAAGAAGGCTGAAATTTAGGCTCCACTTCGTAGAAGCTCATGAGTGCTTTGTCTGATTTCTTGTTGAGGATCTCCAACTTGTTTCTGTAGTTTGCATCTTGGTCGGCATTGGAGAGAACGTACAGTGATATTACCACACTGTACACTCGGCCGAAGACCAGAGGGTGCACAAGTTCAAGAGCAAACGTCTCGCTGGACAAAAAGAATAAAATCATTTAAAAAATCGAAATAGGACTATGAAAAATACCGAAATTATGCCATCAAGTCGATCAAATGTTAGTCGAAATTCCGCCAGACAAAATTAGCAAATTGTCACCACTGTTTTCGGTACTGCGCTCCAAAGATGACTTCAATGAACTTGAGCGTCGATGGCAACTTGAATACTTTAGTGCTTAATGACTTTAAAAAGTAACTATTGAAACTTATCAAGTCGACGACTGCATTGCCATATTTGATCTTTACCCTAAAAAAGGTTTACAACTTGTAGATTAAAGACTTCAGGAAATTTGATACACCTAAACTTCGCCTGAAAAAAAACCGCAGGTAATATATACTCCGCGTTAACGAAAATACTGCTAGTTACGCACAGTGCATTTTTGCAAGAGTCAATAAGTTCAAAAATTAATGATGGACAGTTTCAACTTCAGCGACAAGATCAGAGCTAACCTTTGATTGTCAGAGTCGTCCGAATTTCTACTCATCTGACTGTTCTGCTTGGAGTACTTAGGATCAATGCATGGCAACAGGTAGCCAATAGTATCTGTGAGTCTAGTTGTGATGCTCTTCAGTTCCGAGATGGAGTGCGGCAGTAGCCTTCTGTGGACAGCCGAGGAGGCTTCGTAAGTCGCTCGGAACACGACTTCTAACTCGTCCATCAACTGACCAATCGGATGTTTCTTGTTGCCGCATATCTGAACAGTTTCAAAAATAAACAGTTGCTGAAATCTTTGCAAAAACATGAAAAAAAAACTAGAATGAGTGCTTAAAAAATGTGATACCCAGATTTGCGTGGAAAAAACATCTGAAAATCAAAATTTTCTCAAGCCTTCCGCATTCGGAACAAAAATTTTATTCATGAAAACTTACTTTATTCGAATTAACTTTCGCTATTTACTCTTGAAGCCGTTATCACTTCGCATTGAAAAAGTCACAATGAGTCATCATCAATAGTTTATTGATGAACCTCCGGCTATAGCTCGAAACTTGCCCAAATAAACATTAAAAATTACCCAGCATAGGCTTTAGGTTAATGCTTTGCATGAAATAAGTATAGTATATTGGAGAAAACTTCATGTAAAACATCCATTGTGCTTTTGCGGACAATGAGTTTCAACAATTCTAAGTGACTAATTGCTATTACCCTGGTTAGGAAGTCCCTGATTTGTGATTTTTCCTCATCTGAGAGTGAGTACCAACTAGACTGAGCAAGAGGCACAATGTGCTCAATGTCCTTGAAGATATCGGTGTCACTGAAATGAAACAAAAATCGGTCGGATAATGTATTATCACATTCTGAACTGAAAATGTAAAGACAATCAAAATTTTTGCTGTAATAACACAGTTTCCTGTATGACCGACTGCCCGGAAATTATTTCATCCAATTAGAATTGAGTTCTCAAAAAGTCACTGATTTGAAAGGACATTGATTAATTTTGAGATTTCGGTCCATCGGCCTTGAAGGAATGCGTATTTCTGATAATACAAATAAATTATTTCAGTAC